ATTTACTATGATCTTTTATGTGAAGCTTCTTTGACACAATCTACATTGTAAAAGGGCTAAACAAATAAAGGTGAATTGAATTAAATGTCCCATCCAAACAGTAATGGATTTAGAAAACTGCACAAAAAAAAAAAAGTTTTCAATTGTTTTGCCCTTTCGTCCACATGACGACATCGGTGTTGCTGCCCCTTTCATAGCCATGTAGATAGGCAAACTGCCACTTTTTGGAAACAATGACACCACAGTATCAGGTGTCTAGGTGGAGGAAGAGCAGAGAACAACAATGCAGATTACAGAGCTGTGTTTGTGCTGTAGGCAAGCTAAGTTTATTAGCACGATTAGAGAAATACCTAGAAATGCTGTGTCCACTAGACCAGTGTTTTACAACCCTGTTCCTAGAGGCACACAAACAGTACATATCTTGCATGTCTCCCTTATCTGCTTCATTTATTTCAGGTTTTGGAGTCTCTCCTAATGTTTTGATTAATTGATTCAGTTGTTTTTGATTAGGGAGAGGTTAAAAATGTGTACTGTTGGTGTGTCTTTAGGAATAGGTTTGGGAAACACTGCACTAGACTAGCTAGACATCGGTCCAGCTAGTTGGTTTGGTGTGTTCCACACGTCGATTCTCATCAGATTAACGTTGAATCGAGTTGGCCTGATTCAGCTTGTAGAATCAGAGTTGACCATCGGCTAAAGAACGTTCTAATTGGTCATTCAGCAACGAATCATCCGCTTGTTAAGTGATGACGTATTGGTGACATATGTAATACTGTTTCCGGGTCCAACCCGCCACTCATTTGAGTTGAGAAATAATTTGTTTTTTATTCATATCACACATTAAAGTTAATTTTATTTAAAGTCATAGTGTACACAACAATCTCTGGGCTTGCTGCATCACAAATACCAAAATTTTAACAATTTATAAAAAAATGAATTACTTTCTGGCCATTGGATATTAGGCATGGACATATATATTGCGATCGTGATTTTCGAAAGTATTAAATCGCTTTGTAAACGTTTATTATTACCATTTCACGAGTCTCCCTATTCAGTTGAATAGAGCGCTTGGACCCGGAGGCCGCTTTGCGTGACGTCACACTTAATAAGCGGATAGCACGAGATCAAAACTGAAGTGGCGTAACCAAGTAAACACTTTCAGTCTACAGTGTGTGTACTGTTTGTGTTCGGTTCACTGAATCACACATGCACGTTATTATGACTTCACCCCTTCTCAAATCTCTGTGTACTGTTCTAATAAATGAATAACTCAGGAAATTGCTTGATTTGGTATCAGGCATGTTAAAAAGTAAGTCTTTGTTGATAAGTGCAAGGAGACGTGAATCATTTCAAATGATTTAGTTCGATTTGGTGAACTAGTTCAACCTCTTTACTTAGAAGATCTAGTAAAAAGAATGATTTGTTTGCTAACACGAAAATAAAAGCAATTATTGGGCGCAAATGTGTTAAATTAATACTTTTAAGTGTCTGCTCGGGTTGTATTTAATGCTGTCAAGATGTTGCTGTCATGTCGAGCCGTTGTTTTTGTCGCAGGAGCAACAGCAAACACTGACTGGAAAAGGATAGGCTTGATCCGGCCTTTGGCAGCAGGATTGAACGTACGGCTTAAACACCAGGTGTAAAACTGGCATCGCAAAGTAAATAAAATTGACTTCTTGAAGGCTTATATATTAAATATATTTACAAATACAAAAACTGATATAAATGTAGTTAGTTTCAGTTATTTTTGAATGTACACAATAGTCTCAGTTACTTCTAGTTTAAAAAAAAAACTGTTTTTATTTTTGTTAACGAAAATGTTTTTTTCAATTGTAGTTTTCGTTTTTTTTCCTTCATTTTCGTCAACTATATTAGCCTTGACATATAGGTTTGGTCTTCCTTTTTTATCTGGAGGGAGACTTTTCTTGAAATGAAACCTTTAGAATTCACAAAAAAAAAAAAAAAAAAAAAAAAAAAAAAGGAATCATTGCCATCCCGATGTAGCCTCAGAGTGTCAGAAAAATCAATGAGTTTTCCAATATAGCACAACATTGCACACCATCTGCTTGAAAACTCAAATTCTCAAAAAGCTAACTTTATATTAAACTAAATATGTATTCTTCTATATATTTTTATGTCATCTATGTTAACTAATGATTTCATTTTGTATTGTGCATGTTTAGACAAATCCTCTGCTGAAGTCTATTGGAGACAAAGATATTCTCACAGTACATCTGTACAACTATCAAGGACTCACAGACAAGGTTTAATCATTCCAATATTGTGGGTTATTCGACGCTTGTTTTAGGTGCTTAAACAAGTTGAATTGGTATTCGTCTGATCTTGTAATGTCTGAGTGTTGATGTAACAATCTGGTAACTGCCAGCAATAGTCTACGCCTATTGGTTAAGTGTAAATAGCATTAAAAGTCAAACATGTTATAACCTGTAATGTACTGGAATCAACAGAAACATCTCCCAAAGTTCAGCAGGTCGACTGAATGAACATGTGCGCAAGCTTACGCCTGAAGACATCTCAGTAATATGTCTTTATATGCTTCGAGACAGGACTGACTTGACTGGTTCCATTCTCCATTCTCCTGAAATCAGAGCAGAGACTACAAGGCTTTCCTCAAAAAAACTCCTTCCTAATTTGCTTGAAAATGTGTGCGCACAAATGACTAATTCAGCTAAAATAAAACCTGCAGTGCTTTAGATTAATGGATCTGACAGACAAGCTTAACACAGGTCAGCAGACTTCATTCTCAGCCATCATTTGCTCCAGTAAGCTTTCTACCTCAACAACATTTCCTGAAGTGTGCTGACTAAAACAGTGCTCTGGTGTACATTTAGAAGAAAAAAAAAGTGTAACAAATTACTTTAAAGAGTATAAAGAAGGACACAACTGAACTTCCTTTATGCTACCTATATGTAGAACTTTAATGTGGCATTCACACAAGACGTGTCTTGGGCAAACAATTAGTGCTATTAGGGCATAATTAGACACGTGAACATACTCGCTTCATACGCACGACATACTCACTCACTTTCACAATAGATGCAGATTCGCGTCATGAGTGGGGCTTCTGTTTGCCCAGTGACTCGTTGCAAAATGGTTAACATGGACTTTATTGATAGAGTAACAGTGTTTTGTGTGCTTTAGGAAGGCTGAAAAACAGCAAAGATTCATTTGGCACCTTGAGTCCACTAGATCAGTGGTCCTTAACCATCGGGCTGAGGACTTGCACCGGTTCGTGGATCAATGAGTACCGGGCCGCAATAAATCATTTATTATTTCCATTTTATTTATTACCTGAATGATCTTTTATTTTTAAAAATCATATATTTGAACGCCCAAATTTAACGTACAAGCAGCAACACGAGTAAGAAACAGAGGTCTTTGAAACATTTCTTTGCTAAGGGGAAAAGGCCCAATGAAGGATCCGCAAACTGCCAAGGATTGTATACACAACCCATTTGTCAACAAATCAGGTGGGTCCACCATGTCTGTGAAGATCGCAAAAGCCTTCTAGGGGCTGTTCGCATATCTCGTCTTTTCTAGAGTTAGCACAAGTTCATTAATTCCAATAGAGGTGCGAGCTTGCGCCTTCCATACACACCCAGTTGAATGAATGCCACGAGCGCACTGTGAGTCACGTGACAAGATCTGACTGATCAGCTTCAGCTTGTAAGTGATATTAGTAGACTAATTATCTTAGACCAGGGCCAGAGCAAGCTGAACTGCCGCTCTAGGCAAAGGACGATCACGCCGCCCTCAACCCTAAAGTGAAAACACCTTAAGCTTGGTGGCACTGCTTCCAAGGCATGCACTGAGCAGCCACATTTGAATAAAACTACAGCCGTCATTCCAAATCTTCATACTAAATTTTTTATCAATATTGACAATGGTGTTCGGTCAATAACTATCAATATCGACTTTATCGCCCAGCTCTATATCAAGTAAAAGATTTTCGACTTTTACATGCAGCGCTGTCTCTCAGTTCCAGAGCAGTGCGCCAATCAGAAGGGTGAGAAGGAGAAGATATTTCCCTGAACAGATCCGCCACTTTTGACGCTCATAAACAGTCATAAAGTCCTCAAGAATTAGGAGGTTTGCTGAAGGCGCAGTTGTGGTGCAGTAAGGAATTTGCGTCTTTAATAAACTACGACAGTTTGCGTTCATTGAACGGTAAGAATGATTTAAAAAATCATTCAGTTTCAGGCTTAGTCACGTTTTGCACTCACACATAAGCGTGTGCCGAAGCCAAAGTGAATCACGATGAGGCACACCTCTTCCAACCCGCCATGGGCAGGCCAAGTGAACTGTACCTGAGCCCGATTTCGCGCACTCGCACTTTTCAAACGATCCGGGAAACGGGCCTGGGCACAGTTTGGATAGCATAGTGTGAGTAGGCCCTTACATTTACATTTAGCAGATGCTTTTGTCTAAAGCAACTTACAATTGAGGCGTCATTCAGAAATTCAGAGGCAATACACACAAAAAGTGCTAATTATACAAAAGGAATGGTTTGAGTTTAGAGAATTAAGTGCTAGATAAAGGCGGAGGAGTTTAATTTTTAAAGAGAAGAGCGTTTCTACAGGTGGTTTGTCAAGCCCACTCACCTGTGTAAAGCTCACTTCATAAATGCCTTTTTTTTCTTGAGTGATCGCAAAAAAATGTCTAATGCAAATGTACAAAACTGATGCACATGTCCGTTAAAATGACAGATAAAATAGTGTGTTTCTTACAGGGGGTTTGTCAAGCCCACACACCTGTGTGAGTGAAGAAGCCTACTTCTTTAGGAGTAAAAGAAGTACAGTTTTTAAGATACGTCTTTAGAAGGTAACCAATACACAGAGCACACACAGCTAGATGTCTTACTTGAACATCTAGATTATAGCTTACTCTTTTTGGAACAGAGCTTCCATTTACGATTAATACATCTTTTGATCTCTTAAATAAGGCAGACAGACTATAAAGCAGGTCAAAAGTTAATTTACCTCCCACCATCCTCTTTCAGTTTGCGGGCGGCTAGCTTGGACTGTTTGATCTGCAAGTCCAGCCGGTGTAAGTAGTCTTTAGCGGACAGCTCCTCCGCCTGCACAGGCCGGGTGTTGGGCTCCGGGACGGATGGTTCTGGTGGGGGCGATGGAGCGTCCACATCCTGACTCACACACGGCGACTCCTGAGGTGTGTTTCCCTCACTGTCGGGCGATTCCAGAGACAGTCCGTTAAAGAGAGAGCGTTTTTCTGACTTAACTGGAATACTGAGCGTGTTTCGCAGGAATATGCAGTCATTGCTGAATAATTTATTGACTCTTTTGATTTGCTCCATCTGTGGAGATAAAGGAAAGTTATAAACATACAACACTATTACATTTTACTTTCATATATCCAGTAAGGAGTCCTAAATATGAACCCATCTACCTAGATTTTGCTTGTTTTAGAGATTGCCAGCATTGTGTAACCAACCAAACTATATAAATATTTGCTTTAAAATTAAGGTTATAAGAAAGAATGTGATTTCCTTAGAGGAACCAATTCCTGTTTTCATGCAATCAGTTTACACACCCATTTGATTCCCAAAGCCTCTCTCAAAATCAAGTTTGAAATTAATAGTAATGAGTTACATTTATCACAACTTTATTGAATATTTTGTCCAATTATATATCTGTTTACACAGTTAATCTGCCGGCAGCTAGCTCTCTGCAACACTGACATGGTCACCCACTGAAGCTACCAGTCAGCACCTGGATGGGAGACCACATGGGAAAGCTTGGTTGCTGTCGGAAGTGGTGTTAGTGAGACCAGCAGGGGGCGCTCAACCTGTGGTCTGTGTCGGTCCTAATGCCCAAGTATAGTGAAGGGGACTCTATACTGCTCAGTGAGGGCCGTCTTTCGGATGAAACGTTAAACCGAGGTCCTGACTCTCTGTGGTCGTTAAATATCTCAGGATGTCATTCGAAAAAGAGTAGGGGTTTAACCTGGTCAAAATTTGCCCACTGGCCTCTGTCCATTATGGCCTTCTAACCATCCCCATATCACAATTAGCTTCATCACTCTGTCTCCTCTCCACCAATCAGCTGGTGTGCGGTCTGGTGCAATATGGCTGCCGTCACATCATCCAGGTGGATGTTGCACAATGGTGGTGGATAAGGAGATTCCACCCAATGTGTTAAGCGCTTTGAGTGTCAAGAAAATTATTATTATTAATCTAGATATCAGAGTCATGCAGATAACGCATTGGAAGGGAAACTTCCAAAAAATTTTGCACTGGCAGGTAAACCCCCTTCAAACTAGCATTAGTTCATTTAACTGACAACCAAAAGGTTTTTTTTTTTTTGGTTTTTTTTTGGACTCTCCCTTCTTTGATCTGGAAAATGTTCCCTTATTCAGTTCTGTTCATTTGAATCAAATACCAAATTGTAACTTCTTTTACCCCTAAATGAAAAATAACTGAATAATAATGAAAAATATCAGTTTAAAAAAACCAAAATCTAGAGGGCTTACTAGGTTTACTGTGCAAAAGCATCCTAGACATCAGGAAATGTTTGGACAGGGTTCCCTCAAAGATATAATATAAACAAATGCATCCAGTAATATTATTACATTTCTTCTGAGCTCTCCGGAGTTTTATAATGCCAGTTAAGACATACCTTTTTTTCTAGATGTTATTACGTAAATGAAACCTTGAGAAGTGACATCAGCATCACTAGCTCTATTGAGTGCATTAAAGTCTGGCATTGCATCTATGAGATATGCAGTCTCAGCTTGCAAATTCAAGTCTGTATCCAGATCTAAAAGGACCACTCTTAATTAAATTTAAAAAAAAAACTATTAAAAGGCATTAAATTATTTGTTTTTAGAACACTTCGAAAAATGAACATTACTTTCATAATTCTAGATTTCAATTTCATATTTTTGGTTAGCTGGGATTGGCCCAAACCTGCAGGTGCGTCAGTGATGGCCCAAAACAACGCACACTTTTATGATGCACAACGCTGTCAAAGTGCTCACAAGGTTTTGATATATGAACGCAAATTAATATTGCTGCAAGGGTTTCTTTATTAATGTTCCAAAAACATGGTCTAGATATGCATCTTACTAGTGATTGAGTCACAGTCAATGTCGCGACTATACAGCCAAAAAAAGATGCACAACAACACTCGTGCAGATGACCAGGCCATGGTTTCCTGTATTTGTGTGCGATTATATTAATGTGCGGCTTATATTCTTACCGTAACACCATATTTGAGTGCTATTCCTTGTAGTGTCTCCCCGTCCGTTACGCGATGCTCTATGTATTTCTCTCCTAAAGGCGCGGTGACGCTCGCGGTGCTGCCGTACGAGCGCGTTTTCGTACGGGCCAAACTCTGCGACAATTCACTGTCTGACTCCGAACCGGACCGGGATCTGGGGAATAGCGGCTGTCCATACCGTCCCCCTCCTCCATCATCCCGCAACGGAGGCAGCACCGGAGAAAACTCCGCCATCTTCAATCTGTTATTATTAAAGCTGCCTTCCCCGAAAAAAAAACACTAGTATTACTCACAATATATAAATAGACATGTTTCCAGCGTCACACCCCGAGCAGCACATTTCCAGCGGTGATATTTAGAGGAAACGGCAAAGGTGAGGGATTTTTCCAGTCGCCATTGTCGTTACCGCAGGCCTGCGCGAGATACGCGCTCCATCCAGTGAAACCTGATCCACGCGCGTGTGATGATGACACCCGTCCAGTGAGCGTCTTCCAGGATGACGTCGCAAGGCAGTAGACCAATCAGAAACTCGCGTCATTTGCGTCGCGTCCCTTGCAGTGTTTGGAGCTCAGAAGTTTCAGAGATCCAGCAGTCTACTTTGGGTAACATATTTAAGTATAATAATTTGGCGAGTGTGTATTTACTTATAAATTCTATAATTAATTTAGAGTAAATCGTGACATTTCAAGGATAATGCATATATATGAAAGAATACAACACATAAAAGAGAAAAAACTACTAAGTGAAAAGGAAGTGAAAGCTATAAACTACAGCTAAGTTTTTTTTAGCTTTTTCATTTTACATAAAACATTTCTATAGCCTCTATATATAATTTAATATTACTTTTAAAGTGTAGTAATTTATCGTTTCATTCGACTTTATCAATAGGATAGCAGCAGGCAACTATATTAAATCAAATCTAAATAAATATACATATTTTATTATGTATTTTTACCATTACTCTTATTACCATAAAATTAAAAGCATTTTATCATATCATAACAAATGCTTCTACACAGTTTAGAGAAGAAAAAAAAATGGTTTAAAATTCTTGAGTTATTTCTAACGTGTGTGTGTATGTGTGTGTGTGTGTATGTGTATATATATATATATATATATATATATATATATATATATATATATATATATATATATATATATATATATATATATATATATATATATATATATATATATATATATATATATATATATATATTATATATATATTATTATTATTATTTTATTCATTTTTTTTAATTCTCAATTTAAATGATTAATAGTTTCAAGGGACTCTTAACAATAATAAACACAAGCACAGTATATGGCAGTCTTCAAACACATTAAAAACATTGCAACGTGTATTTAGTTTCCTGTTTTATAGTTTGGTTTCATTTAGAATGTGACTGTGAATGATCTGCTTAAAAATCCCAAGCATTTATTTACACAAACCAAGGAAATGTAACACTCTAATGTCACCAAACAAACTATGACATTCTTTTGAGATATAATGAACTGAGCAATAGAATACCAGTAATAGTAAGTATATGCTTATTTAAGTACTAGTAATAGTAAGTTTCTTCCCATACTGATAAACTTCCGGTGAACGGTCAATGTGACTTTTTTCCATTTTATACGGTTCCTTTCACAGCATCGATGTTGTGGTGTAATATAAAAAACAATTAGGTAAATAGATTTTGGCATTTATTTGGTTGCTCAAGCATAAAACCTGACGAAAAGCCGTTTACTCACACACACCTGTCAGAATCTGCAGGCTAGCGCAGAAACTCCATTGAATATACTGGGGTAAAATAAATGTTGATATTTTAAAGACATCGTTGATATTTTTCAGATATCGCTTAGCCAGTGGAGATCGCTGATTCATAAAGAAAACAGACCTTAAACGCACCAATTTTGTAATGGCATACAGTTCACCGGAAGCGCTTAACCCAGGTTACTGACAAGTTAAAAGTCCCTTTGGATACTTTCACATATACCCCTATTTAACTACATGACAATATATCCAGATAGTATTGTCTGAAATTTGAAACGTCTGTAGCTTGCATATCAATCTTAAACATGTGAAGCAAGGTAACAAAATATAATCCAGCCAGATTAAGATAGTCTGTGGAGATTTCTTAAAATAAATCCACATTAAAATGTCCTGAATTACACAATTGTAATGGATTTCATTTGACATTTATTTCATTATAAGAACCGTTCTTAAATGTTTCCTAAGAGTAGAAAATAATAAGAGTGGAAATATTTTTTTAATTTTCTTTTTTGACTTTTTGACTTTGAACCACACATGACCTAGTTTTATGTAGGAAAAAGGAAGTGTGTATACAGGTTGCTGGACTGCGGTTGCACAGGTTCAGTTCTAACCAAAAAAACAAATTTAGAGGAAATGGATTTAACTGACAGGGAGATAGACCAATAGATGTTTTGGTGACACTTTGTTTTGATGGTCCATTAGACCTTTTTCACAGCGGAATTGAACACCGGAAGCGCCCTTCGAAGCAGTGTATCGATATTTCCGGGTTCGCTAGGAGTCGCAGAGACATGACAGCCTCGGGACAGCGGATGACTTTCTCACGGTCAACTTTGCCATAATTTGGACAGGAAGATGTTGTTCGGTGAATGTGTAAAACTGCCTTAATAAAACAGCATTTAAAAGATGATACCGATTTGCAGAATTTGTGCAGAAAACGTGTCTTACCGTTTGCAACATCAGGTGCCAGTAAGGTGCACAGCCAACAACATAAGATCTGCTCATTCAAGCCATTCGTAAGCTAGATTAACCTGGCTATTTAACATCCAGCAGGATGAGTTTAATGTCAGTAGTCCCGTCTGTAAACTGTGCTAACCCCCTCCTTCCTTTTTATTCAGAGTCAGATATAGTGAATGGCGAGGTAAGTTAGCTATACAGGCGAGTTGCTATCGGTTAATACATTACAGGTTGTTTAATGCTCGTGAGGTTTTCTCAAGTCTGGAAACACGTTAGCTCCTACTCGTGGATAATATTCATTTTTATTATTTATTTAAAGAACAGAAAATAACATTTTACAATACAAAAATTTACATACCAGGAGGTAATTATGAATAAAATACAAATAATCAAAATGTAATAATGAAATACATTTGTAGAGTTCACACATTTTAAAGTGGGTAAAGTGGGTCGAGTTTCTTGTTTAGAGAGTTGATCCTGGTGTTATACAAGCATATTTCAGTCATCAATACCTTAAAATCTGGTTTCATATTAGTAAATTTACATTTATGAATGTACAATTTTGTTAACAACATAAGCAAATTAAATAAATAAAACTATTTTCCTCTAGATTAGGATAATCAAGTAAAGCCCAAATGTACATTTATCCATAATGAAAGAGGTTTTGAACACAAAAGAATCGTTATTAATACATTTTGCAACTCACCCCATAAGCTGACTATGTACAATGCCAAAATAAGTGTAAAACTGTCTCCTCATATTCGTTACAAAAATACAATTTACATCAATCCCACTTTTAAATTTTTGCAAACAATGTTTTGCTGGATAAAACTTGTGGATGAGTTTATAGGACATTTCTTTAATTCTATTTCTAACATGATAGTTCTGTGGTAACAGCCACACTTTTCTTCAATTCACCCTTTAATAAAGACATATAATAAAATTGAATATAAGGTACAGTAATGATTTCTTTTTGGAAAAGAGTATGAATAGCTCTATCATTACTCTTGGTATTTAGTAAAACAAAATTTGCCGACATAAGATTTAGTAATATCAAAAGACAATGCATCAGAAGGATGGTCTTATTAATACCTCTAAATAACATGAATGAATAACATGTCTCTGCAGGAATTGAACCAATAACAGTTGAAAACTTTCTGGGTTATTGAGATTTTGTAATAAAGGACTTCATTGTAAGAAAAGTATACCATCTTTATTATATAACTGACTAAACAAATAATTTTGCTGTCAAACCAATTAAAAAAAAAGAGATTTGCATTTGTATGAACTGTCTATTATTCCAAAATAACAACAATTTAGGCATAAATCATGCTTATAGATTAATGACCATGATGAGCACTTGTTTGTGGAAGGCAGATAGCTTAACTGGAGTTTTGTCTATATTATAATTACTCATCAAAATAAACCATAGACCACCAGTCTTTAATAAAACATGATAATCTCCGCTTTGAAGTGCATACAGCATACGAACGTACTCCCGCATATAACTTGAAACGGCATTCAACCCCCTTTAATATTGTCATCCATGCTTTTCCCTGTCCTTCGTCTTTCGGGAGATCGTGGTCATTAAAGTAAGAGTGTCGTTTTTGAGTTGGAGCAGCTGTGAACGCAGCAATCACAGCGATGAGATGACCCTGCCATTCTTTCTTGCTCCGTCGCATTGAAACCGGATGTTGTGGTACACTGCTTCGCTTACCGGAACCAGGAAGTGTGAAAAAGGCCTTTTGAGTATCAGTAGACCGTCTGCTTAATATCTGTTGATTCTGCTCCTTTAACTACTAACTAACTACTACTAACTAACTCCTTTGACTTTTAACTGACTATAAAATACTTTGCTAGTACATGTCAACTTACACTAACCCTAACCCCAACCGAACAGTCTACGTAAAATCTAATGAGAATTACTTGGCATGTAGATGCAATGTAACCTAAATTCAACAAACAGAAATAATGTGACCTACGTTTTCACTTCTGACACTGCTCTTATACACAGTATGTGGTTTTGTGAACTGAAACTCTCATAGGGAAAACTAGACTGTTGCCATTTTTTTTTAAACTGTAACCCATGCATTTCTGTGTATTAGTCATTTTCACAACTGTGGCAATAGTCCTAATACACTGTCCTGTTTTGAGCAATCACTGTAATTCCAGTCCAATGAAAGTGTTATATTGAACAAGACGTGTTATGAGTATGAAACTCGCCAGCTATTCACATGCTGACCTGAACTTTTATTTGAATTCTAGCAATGCCTGAATATGTTATATGAGCAATATCACACACTCGTAGCACTGCAATATGGCTGTATATGCGTATAGTATCACAGCAGTGCTGATATACAGCCATATTGCAGTGCTAAGTGTGTGACATTGCGTGTATACTACACGGCATAAGCATGTATATGAATATAAAAATCAAACACAGAGAGCCTCGAAACACTTTTGTGTGAAGAACTACTTTCTTCCACCATGCATTCACATCTGCACCTGACCATCTAACTAAACAGCAGAAGTCATTGCTAATTCAAAAATGGCACTACTGTAATATTTATTACATTTCATAATGTAGATTATTGCAATGTCTTTGTGGTAACAAAACAGAGGATCTTGCTCAGAGCAAGATTATAAGACTGTATGGCATAAAACAACATCAATCTAGAGCAGAGATGCACAGACTAGAGCTC